TCTTCCTCAAATCCCAACCTCTCCCTAGCCCCACTGAGGACACTTGACCTTGGACCTCAGCAAGGAGGCTCAGGCCACCTGACTCTGGTGGGTGGAGTGGGCTGGTGAAGGGCAGAGGCTCTGGAGCCAGACACGCATGGGTTCAAATCTCACCCCTGTCAGTTACAAGTTAAAGACATGGGCAGGTTGCTTCATCAAGTTTCAGTTTACTAATCAATAGCATGAATTTGCTGTGGCCATCGCACAACGTGCTTCCAAGAAATCCAAGAGTGAAATCAGCCAGACATAGAAAAATACTGCGTGATCTCACTTGTATATGGAAACTAAAAAAAGTAAAATACATAGGGTATAATGGTGGTTACTGGAGTGAGGAGGGGGAGGAAAGGGGGAGATGTAGGTCACAGGGTACCAACTTGCAATTATATATTTAAAAAAAGAGAGAAATATAATCCTTAGTTAGGACTTTGCTAGAGGGTCATGGGTAGTCTGGCATCCAAAGGCAGGAAAGCTGTGTGCTCCTGATTTAGAGCCAGCTTTTTTAGTGTGGCAAATACGCACACTTGCCTGATCCAGGGTTGGTAATCTTGGACCAGTTTTCTTTCATTTTATGACACTACCCAGGTCAGCCAACATTAATCAGATCCTGCTTACCTGACAGAGAGGAGGTGTTGGTGCTGGGTCCTGTCCTCTCTGGCTTTGTGTCTCTGCTCTCCCATTGCCAGCTGTGTGAATTTGGGAAGTCAGTTAACTTCCCTGAACCCGAGTTCCTAATATGTGGAAAATGGGAATAATTGTGCCTGCTGTTCCATTTTCATAGGTTCTTATTTGGAAGGACCAAGAAGATGAAGGATATGGGGGTGTTTTGGTTTGGAGATTATGAAGTTCTGTGCCAAAGTAAGGGGTCCATTGCAGATTGGTGTCTCCCTACTGGGGTGTGAAGTTTGAGGTAGGACCAGGATTCCTGAGTTTCATTCAAAGTATTTTCTACTGGGCTCAGGTGGTGCTAATTGGAGTGATGGGGCGGGGGAGAGTGCAGAGCAGCCTCTTGTGAACACAGAAAGTGGCAGCATGAGGCTGGATTTGCCTCCTTCTGTCTGCTCAACTCCCACTGTGACCTTTTCCAAGAGCAATCTCTTGCTTGCTTTCCTTTCTTGCAGTCTCCTTTTCCCCAGTCTCTCATCACTTTCTTTCCTTCACTTCCCTTGGAACGTAGCTTAGATTTCATGATCCCTCATTGCCAATATCCGACCCTCCATCACGTTCTTCTGGCTAATCCAAAACTCTGCCATATTCCCGCTCTCCACCCAATTCCCACCTGTGTAGCATGGCAGGTGGCCACCATCATGAACCACTCCCACACCCCTCACATGGGCCTTAATGCCTGGCAGGCAGAGGTCTCCTGCCCTGCAATGGCCATTTAAAACTTTATTTTCCCCAAACCCCCAAAACCTCAACTCTTACCCTCACTCACAGCAGACAACTCAATTCATGTTTCACAGAGAAAAATGCAGCTGTTATATGGGAACCCTTCAGCTTCCCACAGTGAAACCTATGTGCCTACCTTTCTATTCCCCATCCTCATATCCCCTCTTGTTACATTAGTGGACACACTTCCTCTTTCCTCCAAGGCCAGTCTTTCTCCTCCCTCCTTCCTCTGAGGATAGAGAACCATCCCTGACTCCTTCTCCTTCCTGGATCTTTGATCACCCGTCCTCCACTGGTACTCAAACTGGGGTCTTTTCCTTCTTAAATGCAATTAAGTAGACAGACACACACGTACACCTAGCTGGCCCAACATCCCCCTCTGCTTTAGTGCGCTTCTCCCCTTCACTACCAAAGTCTTTGAAAGACGTATTTGTATTTGCAGTCTATTTTTTTTTTTTTACTTCTATCTCCCTTTTTAATCCATTCCAGTTTGCATTCGGCCCTTTCACACCACAAAAGCTGACTCTCCTGTCACTAAACCATTGGACAGAGTTCAGTTTTTGTCTTATTTGACCTCTGAGCAGCAGTGGTTCCTGCTGACCCATCCTTGAAGCCAACCTTCTGCTTTGTTGGGTTCCATGACACTGCACTCTCTTGGTGTCCCTGTCACCCACCTGGCTGCTCCTTCTTGGGCTTCTTTGTTGGCTCTTCTTTGTTTGATCGTTAAACATTGGAGGGTGGGATTCCCTGAGGCTTGACATGCAAGCTTCTCTTTGTGTACGAATTTTA